AGTACTCTATAAAGAGATTGAAAGAAACTCGTACGGATATAATCACTAGAAATAAACCTCAAACAAGGCAACTCTTACCTGGCTTCCATCAATTTTCATCACCATTGTCCACCCACCACCAGAACAACCTGAGACTGGCGACATCTGACAGTAGACGTTCATCACTTGATTTGAACCAGCACTGATTTCGTAAACACCACTTGCAGTATTATTCCTTCAATACAAAAGATCGAATCTATTCAACTATTATCAATAATGCAAAACCTACGTTTATATACATAAAATGAAGTGCAAAATATACAAATTTACTGATTTACCAATGGAGTAATTTTTGAAAATGATAAGCAAAGGATAGCTACCATTTTGGTAGATGCTTCCCGAATTTCTAATTATCATAACACATACCTTTGACTATCCAGTATTTCTTTGCATGATTTAAATTCTGCAACACATTTAGAAATGGAAACAACAAGTGGAATTATACAATAAATAATTAAAAAAATACTTTAAAACAGGGATCTGAATTTTAACCCACATTAACATGTTTCCGGTTAAACTATTTCCATATCTTTTCAATTTTCGATAGCTATAGTTTCCGTGGAAGGTAATTCTGATCAAAACTAAGGAAAACTAAAGGTGCACGAGACTGCTCAGTGCATGGATGATATACACTGAATATTTTTTTTATTTTCATCAATTTTTCGCCGATTTTCTTAGCTATACTCTCCAAACGTGTGGAAAAGTTTAATCATTTTATGAAATTTCATTATTGGCGTTTCCAAAAGGTAGTCACATCTGAAATTGCATAGGACATTTCATTTAACAAGATTGAAGGCTAGGCCTGAACAAGATTGAACTCAAGCAACTACAGGAGCAAAAATTTGCAAGTTTTTCCAAACGTAAACTTGCCCGTTTTACCGAAATTCTCAACTGAGGTTGGTTCTTGGTTGAATCCGAGTTATTGTACCTTTGCATGTCAGCCTTTGAACATCTTAAAACGAGAGAAGACTATTATTAGGTATATTCTACAGGTGTTTATATGCGTTGATGGATTGCGCTATTTTCTGCGTGTCTGTAAATCCTATTATTATGGTTAGCAATCACCCATTACCTTTTTTGATCTTTGTAAGCTCATGGCTGATTTTTGTAATACAATTGTCGATGCTATTAAGACCATCTTCAATCTGTTTGCGTTTTAATTCATTCAGATATTGCTTTCCAAGAATGTCCTGCTAAAAAGAAAGCGCAACTGAAGATCCGATTGTGCATTTACTAAATTTAAAATAACTGATCTGTTATACTATTTTTGCAATTATAACAAATTACATCCCCACAAAACTCATTTGATCTTTTAATCCTCACAATATCAATATTGTACATATTAAACTTACAGCATGAAGCGTTGTGATAAGACAGAACACTGCAATTACTGCCACAAATCTCATGGTTGAGTGAACCTCTGGTATACTGTGTATAAAGCTTCCTTGTCTTCCTCAGCCTGACTCCAAATGACAAGACTTGCTTTTCACATCAACTTTTAAAGAGTTGTGCAACAACATGTGTTTTATTTCATAAATTGCATTGACGTAATGTTTTTGTGTTGCTTCGTAACAAACGTGACTTTTTCGAAAGCGCAGACATATGATTTCATTTCCCTGCTTTTTATTGTCGCGTTTTTTGTAGGTATATACGTACACGCACGTTTTACAAGTATCATTTAAATGATACTGATGAAATAAAATAATGAAAAGATGCATATGGTTGCATTCTATTGAAGATTTGGTGTTTTTTCTCTGGCATAAAATTACAGAAGTGCAGGAATGAAAAATTTTCAAGCATGAAGTTTTTAATTTCAAATGCAGGCTAGCTGCTTTCCACTTATAGGCGTTTTTTACCCACAGAAAATTTTAAATGCTTCATGACTTCAACGTTTTCATGATTATTTAACACATTCGTCAACAAATGCATATTAAAATTAATATATGCGGAAAACTAAGTTTTTTCTTTCGCTTTACTCACCTGGCTTTTCAAATATGACATTTATAATGATTTCGACTTTTGCGCGTGCGTATGAAAAACGCGGGGCGGAGGTGTTAAGGTGTTAAGTGGCAAGGTAAAATTCAATTTCATAATGGAATTTAAAATTCCAAGAACATCACAAAGATCAAGAAGGAAGTATACATTTATCATCGCTTCATTTAAATTTGACCTCCACGTGGGCTGTATTTCATGTTCAATATAGGAACCCCTTTGGACATGACGTCACATTAGGTTTTGCAAAAATTTTGGGGAAACTACAGAAATATTTACTAGTGTGAGAAACTTTGCTTCGTTAAGTTGTTAACTGCTTTTGACCGCTATATATAAACCTTCACCGCTCGCATAACGATTGTTTTTATAGCAAAGTGCAGAAACAGCTGGAGGACAACTTTTAATGATTATGACGTCAGTGCGATACGGGTCTGTAGTTCCTGTCTGTAGGTCTGTAATTAATTAAGGTTTTAATCCTGCATGCGATGATGAATTTCATCAAGGGGCGCAGTGAAAGCGTCTGAATTATAACTAATAACGATGTCTCCACACACTGCATTCACTCAATTGCTTTCGAATTAAACTCAGAAACTTCCTCATAAAAAATAGTTAATTAAGGTATTACAACATGTAATTTAAGATATAAGTAAATTTCTAAATTTTCATTTTGTACGTTAAATTTTATCTCTTGCACTATGCCTATGCCAAAACCTTGATCTGTAATTATTAATAATATTAATACGCCACCTTGGTTTTTAGCGCTTTACAAGCTCTTTGGGGTTTTTTAGCTGAGCACCATCCAAATATATATATACTATGTTAATTTTATATTTGGTAAATTAATAAACTTGTATGCAGATTCGTACGTACATAATATCTATGCGATCTTTAGATAGATGTACTATTTCATAATTGTCATTATGTGTTAGTTAACTTAAAGGAGCAATCGTTAAATTTGTGTTTTATGCCAAGGAATATGAAAGTTTTCTAGGTGAAACTATTAAAGTGCACCAAATGACGGCGCTGATAATGTTTTGAGCTTGTTCAATGATTAAGTCGTTCAACACAATACATTTGAGATGATTTTTAATTTAAGAATAATGTATTTTTTTAACTTCCTGTTTTATCGACTTACTGATAGGAAACTTAAAATAGAGTCATGCAGAGGGTTCTTTGCATGATTTTGCGCTACAACACCTGGGTTATGTCAATAGTGACACACCAAGATTGTTTAGAAAAAAGTATTTAGGGTTTTACAAAACTAAGAATGAATTGAATGAAAAGGGACCGGCGACATATATTATTAATTCTTAGGCATACATGATGCGTTATAAATGTATTCCCCTGAAATTGCAGTGAACTAGAGCCGGGTCCCGTATTTTCGCTTACTTATGCGATATTTTGAACTATATATATACTACAGGGCCTCTAGAGGGATCCATAATTCGGTATAATCGACCTTATACCAAAGTCGAATATACTATAATCGATATTTGTGACCTTGGTAATGTGAATTATTAATTTACAATAATGCACACCAAGGTCACAAATAGCGTATTAATTCCGGTGTAGTTGACCTTCACAACATTTTTAGCACGTCAGTATTTTTTATGGCTACCTTTCCACAGACCAATTAACCAGGTCGAGTATGCTATACATCGGTATCTTTAACAACAGTTTAGAATGAAAGCTTGTCTTATTTATTGCCAATTTCGTATATTTAAATTTTTGTGCTTGTGAATTTTTGACAGATGCATTCGCATCAGTCTGGATCCGCCCCTGCATGCTGTAAGCTGTATTTGGATTTACGATCTCATGTGACCGACCGAAGAAATGTCCGAAGAAATTATAGCACTGTGCACGAACGCGAAATCAGTATTTTGGCATTCATTGGCGATACATCATTCCGGATCTGTTTATATTAACGTTGCTTGAATTCTGAACGGAATCTCTTGCTTCAGGAAACGTTTTTCATCATCGTATTATATAGGCTCAATCTTGAAGTAAGAGATTATTTTTTAATTTTGCGTCTTGTATTGTGCATGATTATAACAGAAAGGTTTTGAAAAGTTCTACAAAAGACTAAATGCATGATTGCATGCATCGTGGACGTTCGACACATTTTCAAAACTGAGCGTTCTGACGCTAGACTGAACGCTATAACTGCATGCCCTCAGCAATATCATGTCACTCCCACCAAGTTGAACTGACGCTAAATTACGTGATTTGCTTTTCTTGAAAATTCATACAAAATTCAAAAATTCGTGTAATAAATGGCCTCTAATGTGTTTAAAGCTGCCATTTCTGTGATACTCTAGATTTTTAAGTATATATATATACGATGTACATTTGACCTTTGAGGTATTTAGAATGAAAAATAGAGTCAGCTTGTAAACAACGTGCATGTGGGCGCAATATCTGCACCGATGCCCAATTTTAAGCATTAGGGTGTCAGTTATTAATTTGGCCATCTGTTAAGTGATATTTTTGCGATCCTACATGATGTATCCCTCAATCCTCATGCATATAGATATTTTCAAATGCAGATATAAAATATAGAGTCAATGAATATGAATCAATAGAGTCAATAAAAAATACAGTCAATGGATGCATGGGATTGATAATGATCCAACAGATTGATAATGACGATACAACTGTGTTCCATCGGTGATTAATTGCTGCCGCAGCGAGGGAGCCTGGGGGTGCAACCTTGGGGGTGCAACCGTGCAAATTAAAATTTGGGGAGGGTTGAACATTTTTTTGAGGGGGGATGAATTTAGAAACGTACGTCGTTTTGTCTTTACTTATTTATATTAAAATGAATGGCTAAATTTCCTTTAAAATTACTTATAATATGTTTTAAATTTGATGACCTTCTTTAATATTACGAGAAAGAAGTCAATTTTCACAACCGAAGTAGGCAGAACAGTAGAGAACTTGGCTATGAAGCAAATACGACTTTAAGGATAATCAAATGAGTTTTATTGTCATGAAAAAAAATTACCATATATAGTTATATTACTATTGTATAATTTCTTGCGTGAAACGTTCTCTTCACTGAAGTTTTAACGAACCAAAATGTATCCCATTGCTTTGTGGTTCCTGTTTCCATTATCAGCAGCACACTGGGCCAAATTACCAGCAGTATTGAGAGAAACTGAGAACCTACACCAGGTAAATGGATACATACCGCCATCACCACCCAAGCCTATGAAAGAATCTGTTGTGGTGCAATCGTTTTCGTTGTTCGCAGTGTAACCTAACCTAACTCTTGCATACGGACTTATACCGACGTTAAATCCCTCTTTGTTGCAGTTACGCTGTAAAGATGATCCATGGATGAGCTGTTTCCATTGAGCACGGCCAAGGTGAGTCTGACGATACTTGCCGTCTGCGATCAGATGATACAAGGACGATGCTGGATGTGAGTAAGAGAAGGCTCTGAGTTGACCACTATATTTCATCGCGACACAAATTTCTTTGAATGAAGTTTTCCAATATGTTGATCCTTTGAATTCTCGGTTGTCAAAACCTCCGATTCTAAGATCGTCATTGTCATTGAAAGTTTCCTTGTTCGACCAATAACCGGAGCTGTATTTGAAAGTCCTCTATAAAGAGCCGGATTGAAAGAAACTCGTACGGGTGTAATCATTTGGAATACACGAAAAACAGACCAACTCTTACCTTGCTTCCATCAATTTTCATGACCATCGTCCATCCACCACCAGAACAACCTGAGACTGAGGACATCTAACAGTAGACGCTTTCCACTTTATTTGAATCAACACTGATTTCGTGAACACCACTTGCGGTATTATTCCTTCAATAAAAAAAAATCTGTTTAACTGTTATCACGCAAAACCTACGTTTATATTCATAGAATGAAGTGGAAAATATACGAATTTGCTTATTTAGCAATGGAGTAATTTTTCAAAATGATAAGCGAAGGTAGTAGCTACATGTTTCCACTTTTCGTAGACGCTTCCCGAATTTCCAATTATCGTAACACATACCTTTGACTCTCCAGTATTTCCTTACATGAATGAAATTCTGCAACACATTTATAAATGGAAACAACAAGTGGAATTATATAATAAATAATTTAAAAAAAACTTTAACTGATTCTATTTTCGTCTTTTCTTTCAAAATTTTCAATAACTATACGGTTTTATATGCAACACATGCAGGCGTTCCGTGAAAGGGTAATTCTGATCAAAATTTAGGAAAACTAAAAGTGCACTTGCCCGTTGGTAAACTTGCCCGTTTAGATAAATTCTCACCTGAGGATGCTTTATGGTTGATTTTCAGTTCGTTACCTTCGCTGCATGTCAGCCTTTGAACGTCTTTTAAAAAACGAAAGAAGAATATTATTAGGTGTATTCTACATGATGTTTACACGAGATTACTCAGTGTAATTTCATCACCTTTTTTGATTTTTATAATAGCATTGCTGATGCTTGTAAGATAATCTTCGATCTTTTTGCGTTCCTTTGCATCCATTCCAAAAATTTCCGTCTAAAAAGGACAGATATGATATGAATGGCACAACGAGAATTATCTCTGGGGAGATATTTGTGCATTTACTAAATTTAACATAACTGATTTGTTATACCATTTTTACAATTATAACTCGCAAATGAAATCCCTACAAAGCTCATTCGATCTTTCTCATAGTGTCATGTTCGTCTGTAGAATTGTGGTAAATAGTAAGTAAATTAAACAGGGGAAATAACGCGCGCAGAAATACGCACATTCAACCATGAGAAAGGAAACTGCCTGTCCCACACGCTAACGCGCAAACGGATGGAGGAATGCGGGCAGTGCAGTTAGAAAGTTCACGGCGTTGCGGAAAAAACATCCTCGACAGGACGTGCATAAATTGCGCAAAGGAAGTCGATGGTAAATAGAATTACATCTCCTAGTTTTAGTATAAATACAAGTAACACTATAAACCTTAGGGGATTGGTCATTGATGTTTGAGAGAGGGAGAGAGTGTGTTTTTCTTAGACCCGATTCACACTGGCTCCTAAGAATTGGGGATGCGTTGTATTACTTTCCGATAGACAAAGCATTTTGCGCACCAGCGACTTCAGACAAAAGGAATCCCAGATTCTTCGGACAAGTGTCAAACAGGGTTTGTCTTAAAGAGTATTGTGTTATCGACTACTGGCACTACGTATGTAAATATACCTGTACATAGGATTCGTACTAAACGATAAAAAATACAGTCTCAAGCTGCTGTGATATTAGTTGAATCTGGTGCCAGAAGCAGGGTAACCGTTGCATCGAAGCGAAGTTGCGCGACACACAATATCAGTAATGCACATATTATACTTACAACATGAAGCGTTGTGACGAGAAAGAACGCTGTAATTGCTGCCACAAATCTCATGGTTGAGTCAATCTTCGTCTGGTACTGTGTATAAAGCTTCCTTTCCTTGCCTAGTCTGACTCCAAATGGCAAGACTTGCTTTTCACATCAACATTTTAAAGGGTGGTGCAACAACATGTGTGCATTGACGTAATGTTTTTGCGTTGTTTCATAACAAACATGACCTCTTCGCAAGTGCAGATATGATTTCATTCTCCTGCAAGGCTTTCTTTGCCAAATGGCTGCTCTCCACTTAAATGCTTCCGAATTTTTATTATTACGCCTTGAGTCAACAAAACAACTAAGTTCTTTCGATTTATTCACCTAGCTTTTTCAAATATGACATATTTAAGGATATAGACTTTTACGCGTGCGTGTATGTGCGTATGAAAAACGCGACAATGGAAGGTGGGGGGTTGTTAAGGTGTTGAGTCGTATGGCAAAATTGAATTTCATAATGGAATTTAAAATTCCAGTAACGTCACAAAGATCAAGGACGAAATATACATTTATCATCGCTCCGTCTAAATTTAACCTCTATACGTAATCTAAAAAGAGCGAAATTTTTCGATCGAACGAAATAGTTTAGTTAAGAGTGGTGAGTTATTAGTCATGAGTTGTTAAGGTGTTGAGTAACATGGCAAAATTCCATTTCTTAATCGAATTTAAAATTCCAATAACGTCACAAAAATCAAGGACGAAACATACATTTATCATCGCTTCATCTAAATTTAACCTCCATACGTGATCTAAAGCGCTGTTCACATGGAGCAAGTCATTACCGGCTAGACGAGGTAAAAAGCGCATCAGATCAAAGGCTTAACCTGATTAGTTTCTCATTATCACGCCTAGCCGGGAACACTCGCCCTATATAAACAGGTCTTATCAATTATAGTCAATTATAATGAGACATATTAATGTTTTAAAATTTCAGACTTATATTTCCTGTCCCTCCAAACATGCATAAATGCTTTGCGGTTCGCGACAACACCCCGAGTACCCTTCTCGATTGGAAAATGGCTAATTGGACGGGTCCTTTATTACCCAGGCAACTTTACTACCCATTGCAACCGAAATAGGCAAATCAACAAGGGGGGGATATATCTCAAGTGATTTTTGAAATACTCCGTTGTAGCTTTAGACATTAGAATGTGTTTTAAGTTTGATGACCTTCTTTAATATTATGAGAAAGAAGTCGATTTTCACAACCGAAGTAGGCAGAACAGTAGAGAACTTGGCTATGAAGCAAATACGACTTTTAGGATAATCAAGTGAGTTTTATTGTCATGAAAAAAAATTACCATATAGTTATATTACTATTGTATAATATCTTGCGGGATTAAACGTTCTCTTGTGTCTCAACGAAACTGTTGTGTCCAGTAAACTGTTATGTCCAGTATTATAAATTGTTATGTCCAGTGAATTGTTATGTATATTCAATAAAACGGCCGTATATAAAAGGCAATATTATATCTCAACTGTAAATCATCCAATCAGAAAGTTGGATTTGTAGCACGTGATCAGTAAATTAATCATGGAGTTCCATCGACTTTTTTCACATTATGCTATAAAAGTCGAATACCCCGCTGCAGCGGGGTATTCGAGTTTGCGTGTACCACGCGTGGATGCCTCGCACACGACTCGAGGTTGTCAACAATTTCAAAATGGAGGCAAAAGAAGCCATTTCACCCAGCTTTTGCGCTGCCTACACGTTGTTTCGATATAATATATAATTTATAGACCTTCCGCTCGGGGAATTCGACGAAATATTACCCCATTCGGGAAAATATATCCTTCGGGCGAAGCCCTCGGGATATATCTTCCCTTGGGGGTAATATTTCGTCGAATTCCCCTCGCTCCAGGTCTATAAATGATAATTGTACAAATTTCTCGACTAATCTCACATTTCGGCAAAAATTGCTAGAATTTTTGTAAATTTAAAGAAAATTAAAATTCTAAAGTAACCTAATGACTTGCATTGACTTACATATGGAAATACTCGATGATTGTCGGCAGATCACGTCATAGTCATGATGTAATTACGATGATCTTTCTGACGGTGTAATTCGTTATTTCAAAAGATCTGGAGAAATGCTGGAAAAATCAGCGGGTGTATCTACGAAACATTAGATTCAGACTTTAAACAAGTTATTTGCATAAACCGTCTTCATCGGGCGATTGCAGTGAAAATTGAAAGAACCGAGGTAGCGTTTGAAAAAAATAACATTAACATTTCATTAGTATTCACCCCTCCCCCTATAGTTGTCGCCATGTTGGAAAAAATTTTCTCCAATTTTAGAAGCTCTGATTTGGCGAAATCTTGCCGGAAAAAATGCTCTAATTTGTCTGGGGCCGGTTGTATGAAAACCGGATAGCGCTACTCACCAGATAGTGATTTTTTCAACCGTTCTAAAGGGCTGAAAAGCAATGAAATGTCAGCTTTGGAACCAACAATTATTAAAGAAGATCCTCGATTTAGGAATTCTAAGATTTAATCAAAGTTATATAAAAACAGGCGCTTTTAAAGCGATTGAAAAAAAACACTATTCGGTGGATAGCGCTATCTGGCTCTCATATAAACGGCCGGGTTGTTTATGTTAAACTTGACTGATTTAAGAACGCCCTAATTTAAAAGCAAAACAAATAAACAAACTTTGTTTTAATGATATAAATCGTAAGTAAACAACAAAAGCTAGGTGGTTACATGATTTAAAAACTGATTTTTACCTAGTTCTAACAGTTCTACTTTTTCCAACGAATCTATCTTCAAAAATTCTTTGGTATGAAATGTAGAATATATTTTGAAAGATAATGATCTATTTCCGAATAGATCGAATTTGGACTGAGTTAATCAGCGAATCAATATGTATCCTATCGCTTTGAGGTTCTTGGTTTCGTTGTCTGATGAACACTGGACATTATTACCTGCAGCGTTGATAGAGTTTGTGACTTGATGGCAATACGGATGCAGACGAACACCTCCCAGACCCAGGAATGAGTCAGGTGAATCACAGTCGTTCTGCTCGTTTCCAACGATGCCCAGCCTAACTCTTGCATGCCATTTTTACCGATATTAACATTAAATCCCTCTCTGTTGCAATTACGCTGTAAAGATGATCCTTGGATGAGCTGTTTCCATTTTGAGCGGCTAACATGCGTTTGACGATACCTGCCGTCAGCGATCAGATCATACAAGGACGATGCTGGATACGAGAAAGAGAACTAGAGAAGGCTCTGAGTCGACCACCATGTTTCATCGCGACACAAATTTATTTGAATGAAGTTTTCCAATATGTTGATCCTTTATATAGTCGGTTGTCAAAACCTCCGTTTCTTCCACAGGAGCAGTCATAGTAAGTGTTCTTGTTCGACCAATTACCAGAGCTGTATCTGAAAGTGCTCTAAGAATAGATACGAATTAAAATGATCCTACAGCCTTCCCTTAAGCCTATGGTAGTATAAGCTGTATGACACCGCATAATGCAGGGTTATTCTTACCTGGCTTCCATCAATTTTCATCACCATCGTCTATTCTCCACCTGAATAACCTGAGACTGACGACATCTGACAGTAGACGTTCATCACTTGATTTCGTCCAACGCTGATTTGGTAAACACCACTACCAGGGTTGCTAGCAGATGTAAAAAAATATGTCTTTAACGCTGAGATATCAGTCGCTTTTTAAAAGTAATATTTCATAAACAATGAACTTGGAACTAAAGGAAGACTGGTATTCAGTTACAATACCTTTGACTCATCCTTATTTGTTTGCACGATGAATGAGTCAGGACTTTCACAACTTAAAAGAGTGAAAGATCACGATCCTATAAACGCCGGATGGAGAGCTTTGGTGAATAAGCTCATGTATGGAAAAGCTGTTTTCGTTTGTATTCCTCAAACCACAGATCACACCTCCCTCTTTACTCCACCTTCCACGTGCCATGTTTCCAATTTCCCTGCATTGTTTCTTTCTTTAAAATCCATGCATTTTTTCCAACCACGTTTTTGTGAAGATGGACGAATCCAAAACCAAACTGTAATATTGTCCTCTTTCTTCAAAATAGTTCCAACATTGATTTCCCGACATCTTGGAGCGCAGTAATCCTTCTTACTGTCAGGACCAAAACAAGCACAGCACTATAGAACAAAAATATTTCAGTTCTGGAACGTTGCATGTCTTCCACTTGTTGGAGACCTCCGTACTACACCTTTCCGTGATCACAGCCAATAAATGATGTTTGTTTGTCCTGAATACCGGAACGTTCAGACACAACACTGTAGCTATATGAAGAAACATGGCAAGTGTAATATAAGTGAAACACGGACCAAACTGGTAGATTTCGCCATAATAGAAGATAGTTACCTGTACGAGCCTGATCTGTCGATATGAAAATTATAAAGATAGGCAAACCCTTTTGGGCAGGCTTTTTTAAAGCATTTGTTCATTTTATGCTGGAAAATAATCGGATTGAATAATAAAAACTCTGAAAGATCTTCACAAAAGTATTCGTAAAAAAGTTCTGTTTTCACTAATTCACGCAAGTCTCAAAATATAATGTTATTTTACACAACCATCCCAGTCCTTTTGAAATATCAGCCCCAAAAAGCGAACATTTGAATTTTCTTGTCGCTATCTTTTCAGTCATGAGATCTTTAACGTAGGCAATATCACCAATGCCTGGGAATCGCTGACTGCATCCTCCTTTATTGGACATGAGAAGTTTTGAAAGAAGACGAGGAGATTTGAAACGATAATACCTATGCAAATAATGGGGTAAAAGTGCATGTAAATGATCACTAGAAAACGTGGGCTATCGAATATCAAGAAAAACAACAATCAAGGCCGCAGCAGCTGTCCAGCTAAAGAATAATAAAAAAAGTTAAAAGGCAAAAACAAAAACGATTTTCATACCAATGTGCCCGAGTATCGCAAAAATCTTTAGAGGTGGAAATCTGAACTCGGAAATCTAAGATTTCTTGATCACTAAATGCACTTGACCACATTGTTTGACCGTGGGGGTGGATGAAAGAAGCATTGGAAGGAATAGCCTAGGTTTCTGGTGTGTCTTTGACGCCAATCAACAGGAAACTACCTCTGTCCGTTTCAACATCGCACCATGACTAAACCAAATGGACTCTCTTTGTTGGAGACATAAAACTTAATCTATATAGAAGTCTAGGTTTGAACCTTATACAAATTTGGACTACATCACCAACCTTTTGCGAACCATTTCGTGTCTGAATCCAGTAAACTCCACTTTTCGCTTTTGGAACATTGTCTACAACCCCAGAACAATCTTTCGCTGGATCAAAATAGTTGTCATACGAATGACCTTAAATTTTGCGTTGTAAATGTGTCATACGGAAGATCTATTTTTGCATTGCTATAATAATTGTTTTTATTATATGACTAGTGTTTGTTTTTGTAAATCTGCAATTTGATTGGCTGCTGACGAGGCGGGATTTTCCCATATTGCCCACAGGCAATACGCTCAATTTTTATTGCCCTCGGGAAAAACAACAGCAATTCGAAATGAGTTATTATTCGTGTTTATGGTTTTCCCAAATTAAGCCATATAATAAATAACTTACTGACTTCGATTGTTCGGTCTGTACGGTAAAATATCAAACCTCGATCGTGCCGTATTGACCTCGCTATCGCTCGGTCAATACGATATTTTACCGCACAGACTTCACTCTCAGTCAGTAAGTTCTTAATATTGCAACCAGAGTGTTTGTACTGTGGTTCAAGTTATTTAATTGGAGTTGTTTTCAAAGTTTGAGAACTTTATACAATGTTGATATAAAGTTGTTTGACGTGAGCTGTGGTTTAACTGCAAAGAGAAGCCGAATCGATATCATACTCTCCAGCTAGTTAATTAATTCATGCGAATTGAGCAAAACGTTTTTCTTGACATTGGATCTTAAAATATTTGTCCCAAACTGTGTAATATTTCTGGTGCTTTGAGAAATAGATAGAGCACTGGGCATATAGCATGCATATGAGAACATATGCTCAGAGATGGATAAAATTCAAAAAGAGAAGAATTGAACAGTTTTTAAAGGTGATGTATATAATCTACGCTTTTCCTGAATATTGACCTCTCCTTTACCTTTAGTGATTTTCTTGTGCAGGAGGATTTACATTGGTAGTCGAATTCACGAAACCATGTATTTTACTGACCTAATTTATGAATGCATACGTCAACAATCTTTAACATATGAAGCACCAGAAATTTCTTCCCTTTTTTGTTTCAGCTTAACTTACTCGTACAAATATACTGCTGTGAAGTAAACTTAAATATCGCCGAATGCATATATTGAAACAATTAGTCATTACCATTGATAATTTTCCATTGATATTTCCCATCGTGTCGAACACAAGTTAGGATTTTATCATCATCATTGTAATCTTTCACAACCATAAACTTTCCTCGTTTCTTTTTGGCGCAAACATCAGGGTCGTATAGGTTGACCTGTTGTGTTGGTAGTTGAAATTTGATACAAGTTCGGTGTACGCCCATACAGCTAGCCCTGCATGCCTCGAGTTTAGGATATCACAAGAGCTATAATTTTTTGTATTGATCAGTCTCACGACAAGTTATAACCTAATCTTGCAAACTATAGAATACATACTATACGTATCAAGTCAATGCTATAATCCAACTTTAGCCACAGATTACGGGTCTCATAAAAATAGGTCTAGGTTCTGCCCATTAGTTCTGCCATACACAATTCGCTTTACTACACAATATACTCTCCTGACGAAGGCCCTCAGGTCGAAACGTCAAGAAGTGTTTTGTCTATTTTAGGCAGTTGTTATACCACATTTGATATAATATACAATAATTATAATATTTTGAATATTTTTCACCTTCTTGTACATATAGAATACGTATACTTACGGCACAGAGAGTTGTAACAAATACTAAAGCTAGCACTACTGAGAACAATTTCATTTTTTGTTGAGCTGCTTTAGGTTCTTGATTTGTTCAGTCTTTGCAAATCCAACCTCAAATAAAGACAATTAACTAGGGTAGAGCATTTACACTGGGAAAGTCTGTTTAATTTTATTGCTGAGGGAAGACTATTCGTTTTGACATGATTTAGCATAAAAATAGAGACTATATAAAGAAAGGCATGTATTGTTTTACTTTTTGTTAATTATAACGTTTTCCTTTTCAATTTATAGGTAAATCATCATTCTCGTGAATATATCAGCATACTCGTCGAAAAAAATGAGATGATAGCCTATTGTAAAAGGAAAAATTGTCTGGTAACGTAGCTTCGCTTCGCCTTGGCATTAATTTACATTCTCATTGTAAGTGTTTGTAGAAGGATCATTTGATTGTAACACAATCCCATGGTAATTATTGCTTGTCTTCATACAAAGGAATTTTGATCTCAGACGAAACCCTTGTCAATAAAGAAACCTTGGATCGAGCTTGCTACTATATTTATCGTCGAAGCGCTTTACGAATCGTATCGACGATCATTGACACCTCAGCCATAGCACCGATGCCTAAATATTCAAATGACAACATATCAGTTAGATATGCTGCAAGCCAGCTCTTAGCTGCCCAGAAGATCAAGGGTACTTTGGGTAGCATGTTTGGGTTTGGTAATAAAAAAATTGGTTTTTTGTAGCAATTTTAGATACCGAGTGATGTTTGTTATGCTAATATTTTGCTGTGAAAACAATCTGTTTCTAAAGAATATTGATAACTTTTGAACATTTGCATAGGGTAGGCCACTAATGTCAGTAAACATCTCACCACAATCTCCACACGCTAAAGTTTTTGAGATTGGAGGTATTTGAATATATTTCAAACTCTTGAGCTTTTCCAGATGTTCCCGTGTCAGCGGATGCTGCCACATGTGGGTATTCATAGCTGGACAGTAGAATACTGGTTTCACTGGGTCCCAAGCCCTTGCTACACTCGTCTGAAAACAACAAGTAGCCAGACACGAGATTAATAAATCAGAAACTCTATGATCTCGACTCGATTACAAAACACAAAGTTTATGCAAGCTCCTTTAAAATTGGGAACTTACGTTTTTGGGGAGCTTACTAGTAAGTTATCACATAACCCACGAGAAAGTTTTGCCATCGTGTTAGCATCAAGTGGTGCGATAAGAAATAACTCTGCCCATCTTCTTAACTGAAAGTATATTGCAACTGATTATATGTGACGCGATCTGATTGGCTGAGCCAGTCACGGTATATCAGCTCGTATACGGTGAGTAGTGAATTCAATGAGAATTTGTGGTGAGAATTTTATAAGTTTGCATATTTTATTATAAAGTTTTCGGTATATTATAAAACAATTATGCTATTTGCTCTTGTCAAATCTCCTAGCTTTCTCCCTTTGGCTCTCAGCTCATATATGACTTAAAATCACGATGTATTTGTTAAATTGTGGATTAATAACGCTTATCATATAACATTTTATTGTCTGTCCTATGGATGTGACGAATGATAAGCAGAGAACAGTTTTTCCTACAAAAGTGACCCAAGATATGACAGGGAATATTTTGCCCTATTGGCATGACAAAAGGTGTGTATATAGATAGTTTGCTCTATGGGAATAATGCAAAATATGACAATGTAATGAGCTCCTCTTTGAATGCCCATTAGTTTGAACTTTGAAGGATGGATTAAGGTTCATTTATATGGGTGCATGTCTTGGATATGTGAATGGCCAGATGTTAGTTAAGTTAGAATATTAGCTTCACACCTCAATATGAAGAACTGAATCACCAATCTTTTTCCATGTCTGCATGATTTGGAAAAATAAAAATTAAAATCAAAGATGATCTTCATACAAACTGGACTGATTGGCTGTATATTAGGTATACACAAACCTCCCACTCGTCCTTATCTTCATATAGATTTGAACAGGAATGGAATTTCGGTCAAAGAAGTGAAAAGGAATTCTGAGTGGCAACAATCTTTACATGAGCCTTTTGCACAATATATGTTCATATTATATATATATATATATATATATATATATATATATATATATATATATATATATATATATATATATATATATATATATATATATATATATATATATATATATATATATATATATATATACATACATACATATCACATTATACATTTTATAGAAGTGCACTTTAAGCAAGGCACTTACTATATAGGAGAGAGGGGAAGGAGTTGGTAGTGTTTGTTTCAAGAATTTACAAAGGACTGCATTAGGCACTCATTCTAGGATTAATATCTACTACTCCTCAATTCTGGCTCTTTCGAGATATATGAGCAAATCAAAGTATCAACAATACACTCCAATTGCAGATCGGGTTGAGTTGCTTAAATATGAGAAAGCCCCTGACATCCATGATTAATGTTTGGCAGTACCAAATTAAAAATACAGTTGTCAGACACTAGCATTCTTTGTGGCCTACCATAATAACTCTGGTCATAGCCAGAGTTAGCTCATTTAAAAAAATAACAGAAATACTTTAACTACTTGAAAATATCTACTGTAAGTACTCAAAACCAAAAAAAATTTAACACAAATTTTCATATTTTGCCAACTGGGACGAAAAAATGAACCAATGAACTTCAAAGTTTTTGGCCAACAAGAAGCAAGGATTTTGCATATGATTAGCAGAAATCGACCAAGTCGGAAAAGTCCGTATTCACCGTTCGCGTAACCCACGCACAATCAACGAATTACATTTGTACTAATAAACTTATAAATAAAAGCTCGTACTTTCGAAGTAAATATTCGGTTGTACAAATTTTAAAAACGTACTAAATAAAAAGAAAGCGTTAACCTTTGGGATTTCTTGCAGTTTTTCGACAAGAATTGGAAGCTTTATCGCCGCTACACTACCAGTAACCCCAACAAGAATATTTATAACTTCATCGCTGGTATTTTCGGTCGCCATATTATGGTGGATATCAGTCTTCCTGTTGCCTGCTCTGTTACGACAACTCTAATGAATCATTTTGACATGTAAGCTTTTATTTTTGTAGTTTTCATTATTATAATAATATATGCATTTTTTCACATTACTTGTATATGTGTGTAGCTTGTGGAATTTTTCAAACGGTGCCCGCTGTAGCGGAACATTTGGAATTTTTTTCGCGGCCTTCTAAAATATCATGGCAACAGGTTTTGAGCCTCTCGCAGCTGTTTTTTCCCGACAGTCCACGGATAGTTTTGATAATTTTTGTTGTTTACCTTCGAATCTCGGTATGTTTATTTATTCGCTTCTAATTAAAGCCCTGAAAATCGTTTATGGAGAAAATTATGTAGGTCTGTACTCAGATTTATAAGCGATAAACTGTGCATAATGAATATAATATTATATTATTATTTATTATTATACCCAGTAAAATAGCTACGTATACATATATCAAATTGCAACATTAAAAAGGCAAGGAAACTGTGTCAATTGTATGGTTGTGTTTTAATCCGTTTTAATTGAGAAGTGTATATATGGAATTTAATAGGATATGACACCGGGTGGCAGCCTGCCATGGCAAGCAGAAAATTCTACTTGACCACGACAGGATTTGAACCCGCGGCCTTCGGTACACTAGTCCGATGCTCTGCCAACTGAGCTACATGGCCAACACGGTGTTAGCCATGTAGCTCAGTTGGCAGAGCATCGGACTAGTGTACCGAAGGCCGCGGGTTCAAATCCTGCCGTGGTCAATTAGAATTTTCTGCTTGCCATGGCAGGCAGCCACTCGATGTCATATCCTATTAAAATCCTTCCCTTTCCCGAGCCGAGTACCATCCTCATGCAAATAATAATAATAATAAATATATATATATATATATATACAAGTATTCCCACACTACTCGGTAGCAAAGACATATAGGAAACAATTGTAACTACCACGGCCAGAAGTAAAACTAAAAGATTTTATTAAAAATATACTAAGCTTAAGCGGCGGAATTTCTGAAGAAGGCTGCGGCATGTGGCCGAAAATTTAAGCTTAGTATATTTTTAATAAAATCTTTTAGTTTTACTTCTGGCCGTGGTAGTTACAATTGTTCCTATATATATATATATATATATATATATATATATATATATATATATATATATATATATATATATATATATATATATATATATATACACCTTGTATATATATATATACACCTGATGAGAGGGAGCTTGCTCCTTCGAAACAGCGCTGTAGTAATTATGCAACCTTAAGGCGGATTTCCACTTACAGCGAAATCGTTCGCTAGCGAAGTATATGCATATTTTCTTTTGAATTTTAACAGCATAAATAAATTAGTGCGTCTTGACTGTTCTCAATTCAAAAGAATATATGCAAATATTTCGCTAGCGAACGATTTCGCTGTAAGTGGAAATCCGCCTTTAGTTTCTGTCTTTACTACAATTATATTATAGCTCTACTTTACAGTATTGAACACTCTTCGATATACGAAAATCATACTATATATATATATATATATATATATATATATATATATATATATATATATATATATATTTTAATAGGATATGACACCGAGTGGCAGCCTGTTATGGCTAGTAGAAAATTCTACTTGACCACGGCAGGATTTGAACCAGCGGCCTTCGGTGTAGTAGTCCGAAGCTCTGCCAACTGAGCTACATGGCCAACACGGGTTGTTGGTATTTGGAAACAATACTCGTTTCTTCGATATCAGGAGCTTATCAGCTCAATAGGTGGATTAATTATTTGCATGAGGATTGTACTCGGGAAAGGGAAGGATTTTAATAGGATATGACACCGAATGGCAGCCTGCCATGGCAAGCAGAAAATTCTACTTGACCGTGTCGGCCATGTAGCTCAGTTGGCAGAACATCGGACTAGTATACCGAAGGCCGCGGGTTCAAATCCTACCGTGGTCAAGTAGAATTTTCTGCTTGCCATGGCAGGTGTCATATCCTATTAAAATCCTGTATATATATATTGGGGAACCAGTTTTGAGCCTCTTGCAGTTCTTTTTTGCACCGAGTCCACATTCCACAGACGCCGGAACTAAATTATGAGGGACGTGTTGATGAAATGGAATGCGATAGACCATAGATACCTACGTAAATATTTATAGTAAACACTTGCGTTTCTATAGCTTATCTATCTATACCTTAATCCCGTTTCAGCAAAAAAATACACATCTATATATATACCTTTCGTTTCAGCAAAAAAATGAACGCAATAACCTTCCGTTTCACAAAAAAAATGCGCAGCTATACAAAATGATTTCTTGCCGACATTAATTATATTGAAACAAGCAGTTGTGAAACTAAAGTCACAATCGCCAATTAGATTATATTTGTAGTGCATGAATATCGAGCGTAATACAAATATCAGATTACAACAGAAAGTATATGAATTAAGCAAACAGGTATACCTCCCGCGCGTTCCAGCAACAAAAAAGCGCAGTTATAACTTCCCTTACTCGCGTCTATCATTACGCAGGAATATATAATTGAATGAAAAGGTTGTGAAGGGAAGTGCTTGTGTCGATACGTCGTCGCAGACTAACAGCTCTGAATTATTCACTCCTGCAAATCAAGCCTCTCTCACGGTCTATATATATATATATATATATAATTATATATATATAATATATATATATATATATATATATAATATATATATATATATAAATATATATATATATATATATATATATATATATATATATATATATATATATATATATATATATATATATATATATATATATATAAATATATGGGAACCAGTTTTCAGGCTCTTGCAGTTCTTTTTTGCACGAGAGTCCACATTCCACAGACGCCTGAACTAAATTATGAGGTGCGTGCATGTTGATGAAATGGAATGCGATAGACCATAGAGACCTACGTAAATACTTATAGTAAACACTTGCGTTTCTATAGCTTATCTATCTATACCTTAATCCCGTTTCAGCAAAAAAATGCACATCTATAGCTAAATACCTTTCGTTTCAGCAAAAAAATGAAAATATTATTCCAATAACCTTCCGTTTCAGCAAAAAAATGCACAGCTATACATTACGTTTCAACAAATGATCTATACCTTCCGTTTCAGCATAAAAAATTAACAGCTATGCTTTTCGTTTCAGCAAAAAAATGCACATCATCTATGACCTTGCGTTTCAGCAAACTGCGCAGCTATATAGCATCCGTTTCAGTTGACCCCTATCGGTACGCAGGGGTATAAAATATGATGACAAAGTTGGGAAAGCACTTTTGTCGTTACATCGTCGTAGACGTCGTAGTCAATTATTCATTCCTTCAAGAACAAGACTTTCTCATTGTCTAGGGTAAAGGTGTAGTATCATTTATTCCTTTATATAGTTATAGATCTAGAGCTTATAATTTTGCTGCACAAAACATGTTTATAACTATAACTTTTTAACTATATTGATTAAGTCAATGGCAGCAGAAGTAAACAAGTACGAGGGTATACAAGGGTATACTACTTATAGCATGGACAAAGATCTGGTGAAGTATAAACACAAAGCGTTGCAGCAACAAAAAAGCGCAGTTATAACTTCCCTTACTCGCGTCTATCATTACGCAGGAATATATATAATTGAATGAAAAGGTTGTGAAGGGAAGTGCTTGTGTCGATACGTCGTCGCAGACTAACAGCTCTAGAGCTTTTAATTTTGCTGCACAAAACATGTTTATAACTATAACTTTTTAATTGTATTGATTAAGTCAATGGCAGCAGAAGTAAACAAGTACGAGGGTATACAAGGGTATACTACTTATAGCATGGACAAAGATCTGGGGCCGGTTGTATCAAGCCCGTTTAGCTTAAACGGTGGATAAGTTCAAAATAGAAAGCAAGCCTGCCGTTTTATTCAAGACGCAAACAAAATGTTTTTGACCTTAATACAAAGATACTGTTCACAACTACAAATTCAGTGCATAATATTCAAGTTGACTCATTCAAGAGAGTTGTAAGAGTGTTATTTAATTTTGACTTATCCACCGTTTAAGCTAAACGGGCTTGATACAACCGGCTCCAGGTGAAGTATAAACACAAAGCGTTGCAGCAACAAAAAAGCGCAGTTATAACTTCCCTTACTCGCGTCTATCATTACGCAGGAATATATATAATTGAATGAAAAGGTTGTGAAGGGAAGTGCTTGTGTCGATACGTCGTCGCAGACTAACAGCTCTAGAGCTTTTAATTTTGCTGCACAAAACATGTTTATAACTATAACTTTTTAATTGTATTGATTAAGTCAATGGCAGCAGAAGTAAACAAGTACGAGGGTATACAAGGGTATACTACTTATAGCATGGACAAAGATCAGGTGAAGTATAAACACAAAGCGTTGCAGCAACAAAAAAGCGCAGTTATAACTTCCCTTACTCGCGTCTATCATTACGCAGGAATATATAATTCTGGTGAAGTGTGTCATGTTAATGTACTTGGAATAATAATTAGCCTGTGGCTGTGTGACTTTGTCTAGTACATGACCGACAGCCCGTTTATGTTAAAATCTTCTGATTGGTCGTTGAAAAAGTTCTAATTTAAAACGGGAAGTTTTTAATTCACTCAAGGGATCCACGCACGTCAAATTTGAGTCCATTTTTTCAAATCTCATTTCAAACTGGGTAAATATTGATTAACTTTTGTCCGAAGTAAGCTATGAAGACTAAAGGGTTCAATTCATTTGAAATTCATAAAGACATTGAATTTGTAAAAATACGTAATTTTAATAGCTTTAAGTGTGGAACACATTACTACCATTTTGATACGAAAGTTTGAAAATGTGGGATATACTAAATTTTTTGTGTTTATCTTACTATTGGAGTGATTTATCGTGTTTTGAAACCGAAACGTGTATGTATTCACAACAGAGCATATCGGATGTTGATCACATAATTGTTACATAATAATGCTCTAGAATTACGCAAATTTCATAAGTTTACAGCAGGGCGCTTATATAGTATTATTTACTATATAAGCGCCCTGGTTTACAGCAAGATTTGACGCGCGCACGAAGGGACGTATTTAAATTTTTGCTTGTACTCATGCATACTGCTAACATGGCTATGAAGCTGGGGAGGTTTTAGAGCAGATCTATGATGAAAATCAACGATGGCTTATTCACCGACGAAAAATATTAATTACTTAAACCACCTTTTGGAAGATTCCGATAGTGATCGAAGGCAAGCATTTACACATCTTTATAGCGGACATATATATTTGTCAAGTCATGGCTGAATGAGAAATTTACATACAACGCATCTATAAGTATAGACCAGGCCTTCACTCTTCATGCATGAAAGTTTACTTATAATGTAATATATTTTTTAAAATAAGACAAATATATAAATGACTGTTGAAATGTGGTAGATTTTTGAGAATTCTATTCATTTTGCGATAGAAATCAGGGGTATGTGAACCTTTTAAAAGTGTATAAGCATAAATTTTAATACTTCGTACTGGGATTGGTGACATGGCTTGGACACAATGGAACTGTATAGTCGGGATTCTTTTTTGTCTTTTTTTAGTGAATCTAGGGAAGACGATGATGGGGATCAGGGAGAAGAGGGTGATTGGGGAGGATCAGGTTGAAAAGGGCCGTTCCCCAATTATAGGAAAGGTTGGGTCCCCTTCTGAGACATGCATCTACCCATACGGAACGGGATGGTAGGGCCAGGGGTGGGAGAGAAAGGACAGGGGTGGGAGAGGTGTTATTGGTGAATGTAATGAGTGAGCTAAATCCTACAATCACCAGGATGTTGGAAACTATATTTCTCCCTTTCCAGAAGCAACTGTGGAAGGCTATATATATACATATTACACATCGTTTGAATTTTGATGGAACAAATGTCACTGACAATACGAAACACGAAAAATAGCATTCGCGCCGTTTGGTCTTTGATATAGGTATTATTGCTGCGGAAGCGATCGAGCGAGCCTGAATATTTTGTACTCTTTTGATATTTTAAAGTTCAAATTTTTAACAATTACCACATTGCTGGAAGAGTCCATAAGAGTACTGGTTTTGAAGACATAATGCAGCAAACCGGGCTGAAATTTGGCAAGAGATTATATGAGCAATTTTTGCCGGGCTGAAATTTAACAAACGAAGAGAATTTAGCAAACGCAGAAGCCACTGTTGTTTATGCAAGTGTGTAAAACTGTGCATACGTTGACGAATTCCCAGCCCGGTTTGCCAGGCTGAGAAGAGCATATGCGAAGTTTCAGCCCGGCAAGACGGGCTAGCCCGGTGGACATAAGCGGACCAGCCCGGTTAGCGGGGCTCAAACTTCGCATGTAATCGAAACGTCAAAAATTGCTTGCGATTTAGGAAACGGGATAGCTCGGCAAAGCAGGCTAGCCCAGTCCATGTAATCGAGGGCGTAAACACTAACAACGCTTGCATTAAGTTTCACAAACTTTCCGCGTGCATTTGTCTAAAAGTAATTGTCAATAAATTTTTTATACACCCTAGCTGCATAAGGTATTATTAGTTCTCGGTGATGGGAAAATGTTCGTTGGATTGATTGCTATAACCTCGACGAAACGGTTCTCCAGGGTCGCTTAAAGAACACTGACTATAAAAACGATCTTCGTCTTATTTTAAAGTGACTTCAGTCTATTGCAAAATATTTTTTACA